CTATTATCGCTTGTAAGAAGACAAAGTCTGTGGCCTGTGGCTCTGGTCTGAGATCCCCAGTGACCTCATGGTGGCAGCCACGAACTGCAGAGGCACGAGATGCCAAGTAGGAAATGGGGGGTCTCTGGAGGGAGACGCAGCTTTGTGCACTTGCAATTTGCTTCCATGTGAGATTCAACCCTTACACTGTTTCTTGATAATMTCGTCTTTCATTCTTCATCTTTTCCCTGCTTCTAGGGCATCCAGCTGCATCTCTCATTCCTGGTTATTCCTTATCAAGAGAGATTCTTTCCAGCACAATCTGAAGCTGCTCCTTTCCTGAGCACCTTTTTAGGGGCCTGCTGCAGTTTAATGGACRGAACTGAGTCCTTCTGTCTGTATCAGAAAACAGGAGTCACAAACTGCTCCCTTCCCAGGAAAGCGGAGGCAGAAAGCTCTTGGATCCATGTCCTCATGCCGCATTGCCAGAGATCCCGAATTAACCTGAGATTCTGCAGTCGCTGTGGCCTGGATGTTTGCCCCAGGAAAAGCATGCAGTTAAAAATATTCCCGACGGCACATGGCGCCAGCTGCTCTGGAAGGAGAGGATACCTGTGCTGACACGGCCTTGCTTCTTCTCACTTGCTCTGAGGCATTTCTCCCAGCTGGAGCAACGGTTGCAGTGGGGGACTCAGCAGCATGAGCGTGAAGACAAGAGCGTCCTGCCCCTGCACGCACAGCAATTAAGGCCGGCAACTGTCTGCCTTCCTCCAGGGGAATTCAAGGCTCCGGGAGGACTGGGAACATGAAAGCGAGAGTGGAAACACGGCTGAATATTCACAGTCCCTGCTGCTTCCCCAGGGAGTAGGAGCTTGGATAAATGCGGACGTGCAGGATCTCTCCTAGCACAGCTTCCCGCCCCAGGGACGCGCGAGTCCTATCGACTCCACAAATTGCCCTGAAAGCCTTTTCAAGGGCAGGCTTTGCCTGCGCTGCTGACGTGTCCTTCCAACCTAACACCCCCAGGAAAGCAGCCTGCTGGAAAACCGCTCCTATTGCTTTGGCCTCCTCTGGTGGCTGAACTGCGGCTGTGTTGCCCGCAATGTGCCCCACTTTCAGGCGCGACTACATTTGAGATTATAGCCTGCCTTCAGATGTGTAACCCTGCATCCCTCTGCCTACATGCACGATATAATTGTGCCAAGAAGGGATGGGTAACTGCGTATTTCTTCATGCAGAGTCATATCCAAACAGTTCATATTTTAACCATCGCCCTGGGGAATTTACCATGTGATGATCACAGGATTTTTTCCTTGTCATGAGCTGTTACCATCTGTGCAGATCTCTGTGAGGTTCAGGGGTGAAAAAAGGGAGCTGCAGCATCCGCCAGGTTGTTTGACTCCATTCTGGATGGACTGTCAGGAAAAATGCCCAAAATAATTTTCCCGGGGTGCCTCCTGCTTCCCTCAGACAAGAGACAGAGGGTTATCTCCGTGATCCAGGAGCCTCTTCTCTCTTCCTTGAGACTGCGTTTGGGGAGTAGAACACTGGATTTTGACTCCGTGGCCTGGGCTTGGAGCAAGATGCGTTTTCAGACCCCAGGGGGGTCAGCCCCTCTCAGTCTGCACTGCGGCTGCCATGTCGTGCTCCTCGTCTCGGCCACACCACTGCCCATCTGCGTTTGGAAGGGAGCTGCTCTCCAAGATCCAACAAAAATATTAGTTAGGCCGAGGTGCATAACAAACAATCCAGCTTTCATTGAAACTCTTTTCTATTCTTTGTGCTTTTATGGCAAGTAACACTTATCTGCTGTGGTTCTTTTCCAGGTCCCCCAGCAGCTTTAAAATACTTAGTGGTTTAAGGCAAAATACTTGGTGGTTTAGTGTTCCTTTGAATCTAGGGTTTGGTCTTTCTTAACCTGAGTTTTTGTGGGAGGCAGAGAAGCATTTTCTTGCACTATTCATTTAAGGATCCTGAAGCTATTTTCTTTTGCTTATTGTTTCATTTCCTCTTTTTTTTTTTTTTTTTTTTTTTTTTTTTTTCCTGACAGCTGACAGGGAGTGTAATGTCAGGCACGTAAAATGACATATAGAGAATATTCATAATACATTACAGATACCCCCCTTCATCCCAGACATCCATACATTACTGCCTCTGTGCTGCTACAATGGCATCTATTCACACAGCCTAATAGTTTAGCTCTTGTATATCTGGTGGTCTAAAGAAATAGGCCAGGTGAGATGTGCGGGAAAGGGGTGATGTCAAAACCCTCTCTCCTAGTAACAAGAGCCTGGCTTAAGCAATCCAAAATCATCTGCTCAACTCTGCCAAGCTCCTCAGCTTGACATATGGTGGCAGCAGGTTCCACCGATGCACTGAGCCACAGATGTGGCCAAAGTCCTACCTTAAACCCTCCTGTCTGTCCATGGGTACTGGACAGCAGAGATCCAAAATGCAGCAGGGAGACTAACAGCAAAATCCTCATCACAGCTAGTGTGAAAGGAATGCACAAGAAGGGACAGCCTCCCTGGGCAGCCTGTTCCAGGGCTYTGGMACTTCACTGTTGAGAATTTTTTCCCTAAGTTTCTGTGGAACTTTTGGTGCTTCAGTTTGTGGCCATTTCCTTTAGTCCTATTGTTCAAATAAACAAAATAAATAGTCTATACTGTTCAAGTAAACAAAACTCACCRAAGAGTTTGGACTGTCTGGCAAGAAAGAGGAGCCGTCTTCATTATTTATTGCTTCCCTTTTATAGCTGTCATATTACCTCTTTTTTGTTGTCTTTCCAGCYACTGGCAAAGCTACCACACCACCACCATGTCAGACTCATCCCAGTGTCACCCAGAGACGATTTCCCAACACCGGGATTCCGCTTGTTCAGTTCTTTGACAGTGACCATTTTCACACCATTCATGGCACTGATATTCACAAGCCTGATCTGCGCAATACTGCACTCAAAGAGCAGCTATTGTGCCAAAGGTTTTATAGATTAATAACACGGATTATAAAGGTATCACAGGCATCACAGGTCAAAGCACATCTCAATCAGACACACAGTTGAAGTGGAACTGCGAAATTAAAGTGACTTGATGCCGCTTTTTCTTTGTGCCTGTGCAGAACCCAAACAAAGCTCTCCTTGCCCTTCCAGGTGGACCTGATGAACCTGTTCTGTTAAGAGGTTTTAGGGCTAAATCATGTGAAGGACAGGAGGAAACAAGCCATTTTCATGTCAAATGCACACACTGAGTAAGGAGGTAGGACCAACCTCATCATACACCCAAGCAATTGCTAATCATCACAAGGTTCTCACTGCCTCCCATCCCAGCTGCTTTCAGGAGGGGTTTGGGACAGCAGCCCCAGAGCAGCCCCCACCTTGGGTGCTCAGACACTCAGTGCAAAGCCACATAYGTAAAATCTTTAGGTTTTCCTATTGAGGAGGAGTCTCTGAACCTTAAAAACATAGGTGTTCAAGTACCAAAAAAGGAAAGACTCATTTCTCCCTCATCTCCTATCTTCAACACAGGATGCCTTTATGGATCATCTACCTGAGGCTGTCCTTGACTTAGTCTCCTGCCCTGCCAGCAGTGCTGTTTCAGTAGAGGGGTAAGGTCTCTCCCACAAGCATTAAGCAGCAGGAACACTGTTAAACTTTAACAGMTCTTAATTTTGGTGGTGCACAAATACAACTCATTTATGCCARTGCAATCACAATTGTGTTTTATGAGCACATTGCTCTGATAAAGTGACTGTAGTCAGGTATCTGACTGGGGCCTTCTGTGGATGCGAGCCATGACTATCAGTGCAGAACAGCTATATTCAAGAGGTTGCAAAATGGGAATGGAAACTGCAGCTTGCTTTCCACTTCCAGTCAGTTTGGTGCCCATCTTTTAAAAGCTGGAGGCCAAACTGGATGCAATATCCCAATATCCCAACACTGCTTTTACAAACAACATTTTCAGAAAATAAATTGCTTCCTGAATTCTTTGTTAATACACACTCAACATTTTTTTGACGTTCTTCAGGATTGAGCACTCATTTGGTTGCTTGTCCAACAATTCCAATCTTTCTCAGGATGCAATCTGCTCGCTTGCAGTTCCTGTCCATACTCTGATCTTGTATGTGGCTATAGTTTCTCTGAAAAGCTATAGCGCTGCTTTCTACAACATCAATCCTTACTTGCCAGTTAATCAACCTATGTCTGCAAGCTCCTTCTGCACCTTATTTCCAAGTCACCTGTTAATAAAAGTCCATATGATGTTAAACTGCTTTACACGTATCTTAGGTGCCACATATTTTTATAGGTTACAGCTGTGAATTAGGATTAGGTTTTACAGTACCTGATGGTAGGGTTATGGGCAGGGAACATCTATTTTGAGAAYCAACTGAAGATACAACCTGAGACCCTGTAACTGCTTTGGCTGTAGTTGAGGCAATTTAAGCTGCCACCACAGTTCAAAGCAGCAGTCCCGTCTTCGTAGTCCTCTTGCCCAGGTGCCACTATCTGCATTTTCTYGGTGGTCAGTGCGGTCAGACTGAGAAGCATTTGAGCACACTTGAGAAACAGAAGTGACTTTTACCACTTTGCCCACCTGGAAGCCGTGCAACTGCCCACGGTGTCCAGGGAAGGGGGCTCGCAGAGCAGCCACGGTGGCTTGTGGCCCCTTCTGCTGGCAAGTGTCAGATCAAGCTATTTGGCAGGATTTCCACGGTGAGCGATCCCGGCTGGCACCACAGCTCACGCCCCACCAGGGACACCCTCCCGTGTGGGCTCAGGGGAGGCAGTCATGCCCAGGCCGCGTTTCGTGGCGCTGCTGTCAGTCTGTGGGTCGGCGGGAGCCGGGCCGTGGAGCAGCAGGGTGGGCTGCAGGTCCTCCATGCCACGGGCGAGCAGGACTGCGGTCAGCGAGCCAGGCCCCAGCTCGGGGCGCCAGCTGGAGGCCGCGGGCAGGGAGGCTGCGCGGGGAGGCGGCTGCGGCCCCTCAGCAGAGCTCGGCCACGCGGCCACGGAGCCGCCTCGCCCGCGCTGCCAGGCGGGACCCCACGCCTCGTCCCACGCCCGGCGGCGGCGTCACTCGTGGGCCACGCGCTCCAGCGCCACGTAGAAGCTCTCCTTGTCATCGAGGCAGTGCCAGCCGATGGGCCCCGCCTCGCAGTCGGCGCACACCAGGAACTTGACGTTGCCCACGTYGCGGGTGAAGCCCACGTTCTCGAAGGAGAACATGTCGCGCACCAGCCAGTGCTCCCGCAGCACGTCGCCGTCGCTGCCGCCGGCCGTCGCCGCCGATGCCGCCTTTTTCCGCATGGCGGGCAGGAGGAGCTGCGGCGAGCAGCGCGTCACAGCCTGACCGGGGTGCGACACCCTGCCCGCCCCYGGGGTGGGACCCCCCACTCCGTGGGTATTCCACCCCACCCACCGCATGGGGAACAACCCCCTCGCAGCCCCCTCCCCAGTGGGGCACTACACCCCACCACACTGCTCTGCTACACCCTGCCCACTCCCAGAGGAGCCACCCCCCTCCTGACCCCCCCCCC